TTTAGCTGGAATACCCCTGCAGAACCCACACGGAATCAACAACCTGTTGAAAAGGGAGGCTCAAATCAATTTTTTTCATGCTGGAGAAGCAACTGTTTGATTCAGGAGTTCAAAATTCTGTGCAGGGTTCTGAACATGCTGCCTTAAAAACAAAGGCACTGTGCCTTAATAGAGAGGGTGTGTGCCTGTGTGTTGGAAGATAATGGGGTTTATTAGGAGCTCTGGGAGGAATCAGCCAGGTAGAGGCATGTGGCCAGAGAGTTTATTTTACAGCATCACCCTCCTGGTTCAGAAATTTGAGATACCAAGGCTGTGGTGGAGGCTGAAGTGCTGTGGTGTGGTGGGACAAAAAGTGGATCCTTGCATCTGCAGATGGGCTGAGCTTGGGACAACAGCAGCTGGTACCTAGGGGGAAAAATGAAACACCAGGGAGGGGCACATTTTTTTTTGTCTGAGTTCCCTGCACTTAGAGGCAAATGCAAGTCTGTGTGTAGAAACAGAGAAATAAAGAAATAGAGGACTGGAGGAGGAAATTTCGTGGATTTTGACTTTATTTTTGTGCTCTAAGTAGAAGGGCATGAAATCATCATGAGAGAAATGCAAAGCATTTGGAGCTTAAGCAATAGAAATTTGGTGTTAGGGTTCTTGACTCTGTGTTGATACTAGACAGACAGAGGGAAGATCCATGGCACACAGACTTGCTATGTGAGGAAACGAGTATTTGTAAGCAGTGCAGTTCTTAATGTGTAAAACCTAAGGTAATTATCAGATTTTTCATGTGCTGTATTCCTTAACACTTTAAATCACAGTGAATATTTGCAGTAACAGCTAGATTGAGACCACAAAGGCAATCTATATATACAAAATTGCTTAAATATAGACCTCTAAATCCATCAACGAGCAAGAAGTAAAAAGGACGTGCCTGACAAAGATGCTCACAGAGCGTTGCTGTGCCACCTCAGTAACCCGAGCTTTACAAAACAACTGCTGCACACAAGGTTGTGGCCGAGGTCATTTCACATCCCAAAAGCCAGCCAGAAAACCTCTCAGCAGCCAATGCTAGATATGTTCTTGCATACTGTGCTGACCTGCAGCCTGTCAAAACCAACCACTGTTGGTGAGCTCCTGGTTTCACTGAAATCTGCAGAATTTGGAGCAGATTTCTTGTGTGTGTGTGTGTGAGAAAACTGAGCCATTTGGAGGGTGGCACGACACGGGGGCTTGTTTCTGTAGCTGAAATTAGTGGAAACTCGTCAGTGTCTTTGGGGGGGAAACATGAGTTTCCACAACTCCTCCCGACCCTGCTCACATCAGTGCAAAAACTGTGGAGTGCAGAGGGTGTGAGGGGTGATCTTCATAGCAAGCTTTTGAAAACTTACAGCAGTGTGTTCTTCACTCTTATTCGTGCTAAGGTCTCGGGTAAGAAACCCTGAGTAGAGTTGGAAGCTGCAGAGAGTTTGCCTGGATGGTAAATCCAGCTGAATTGTCTTGCTCCAGCCCCTGCTCAGACCAGGTTTCCCTTTCTGGCATGGGAGCTGCACAAAGCAAACGTGCCCATCTTGGGAAAGGAAAGGAAAGCAAAGGAAAATTCAGCTTTACTAAAGCTGAAACCTTTGCTCTAAAGAGAAATTCGTTTACACAATTATTTCATCGCACAGGTGGGTTTTTCTTTGAGTCCCTCTACTTTCTGTAATTATGACTCTGACGTTCAGTCAAGTTTTGCTTTTTTTTTTTTGCTATTTTTGAGTAACTGCTCCCCAAAGGAAGCCCACCCACAGCTGCCAGGGATGTTGATGAGGTAAAGTGCTCTGTCACTTCACACATTTTTATTAAGCAGTGGGTTGAAAGGCAGCATAATTGGGAAGCCCTGTCATATCTTTGATAAATGCTTTCTAACATTGCTGTGTTTTGCCCAGCTATGACAGAACCCATTAGAGTGACACGTATTTCAGCTGTTTGGATCTGTACACTCTGGGAAAAAGGAGTGTTTCCTCTCGTCCAGGAAAAGGCTGCAGGAGGGCAACACCCTCCACTCCAGGCTTTGGGTCCCCTGCACACATGGCAGATCCTGGCAGGAATTTTCTGCCTTTTTTCACTGTGGGCTTTTCTATTCTATAGCTGTGGCAGGAGTAGGAGGCCCTGACAATTGGTGTATTTATCCATTTATTTATTCTTCGGTTTTTTTTTAATCTAGCACAGCGAGGCTCTGCTCTTGGATTTGAAATGGGGGTGCTACTTAATATAAATAATAATCAGATAGGTATGTAACTGGTTTCTCAATGCTAACATTCAGCTTAATGCAGCATTTCTCATGAATCATTTCCACAGCTCCTCTACCAAGGAGAATTTATGTAGTAGGTTTCTTTTGGCAAATATAGAGGCTGGCTGAATTTAAATGTAGGCATTATTTGAAAGTATAGTGCCAGCTGCAAGACCCTATTGTGTAAGAATTATAATGGCTAGTTAAAAGAACATTATTTTCCTCTCAAAATTATTAATTTTAAAACTCCTAATAGTATTTATTTGGCACTTTTGGGGTAAGTCAGACAGAAACCCCACAGTTTCTCCTCTGTGCAGCCAATTTCTTATGGTAAAGAGCTTTTCACAGAAGAAGAAACAAATTTGAAAACACTTACAAATAAAACCATGGTAAGTCTGAAGTCTAAAAATACTAATCATCACAAACTGGATTTAATAAACCAAAAGGGATGGTTAAAAATTAAAATGGATTTTGTCCCTTTAATGATAAGCAAAAAGTACAGTGTGAAATGCCATTGTAACTGGAGTTGACAGTAAATTCAGCTCTGGATCAGCCCTCACATGGCTTGAAGTAAAACAGAGATATTACTCTGACTAATTTTGCATTGTAATAATTATTTAATGCTTACAATGAAGCCTTGTCCTTAGGGTTTTATGCTTTAGCTGTTTCATACCCACGCCTTGTAGTTGTTAAGTGCAGACAAAGCTGCCATTTTTTCAAATGGCATAATGTATATCAGTGTGTGTCAATGAAAAACATCAGAAATGGACATTTTCTGGTAGAATACATTAACTGTATGAAATCTGGAACAGTTTATCCGGCTTTGGAAGTTTCTTCAAGCAGTGCACAAGCCATAAATAGATTTCTATAAGTACCAAAGGCTGTCATTTCAGAACTTTACAGATCTTAATTTTTACAGAAGTAGAATTTGCTCCATTTGTGTTCTGTCGTATGCTTTCAGTTAATTCCAAGCTTCTTTTTCTTCTTCTTCTTCTCATATTAACAAACTAATCTCACCCTATTGGTCAGGAAGTACTTTGTAATGATTGTCTTGGTTCTATTAAACTGCTGAAAATGCATTTATTTTGTTTTTCTGTCCAAAAGAGCTTTCTTGATTCTTTGATGTTTGGTTTTAGCCAGCTTTACAAGTCTGTAATGAATGGCTAAGTGCAGTATTGAAATAGAATTTTCAGTGTTTGGGGTGGGATATTTTTATGTCAGGGATTTTTTTTTACACAGCATTAGACCTAAACACCCTGGTGTTTTTGTATCCTGGTGATTATGTAACAGGGTAAGGAGCAAGTCTGGTCACAATAAATGTGTGAAAATTCAGAAGTCTTAATGCTCCAGGGCAGGCATTGATGGTACAACTGCAGTTCCCTGAACATTCCATGGACAAGCTGATTTTGATGGGAATAATTCCATCTGAAGCTGAGGTCACAGTCACTCCTTCCCCAGGGCATGTGGGAGCCACACAGGAATAATGCAGGGAAATCATCTGCCCATGTGCAATAACATCAGGGGCTGGTTCTTGCCCTTGGGCAGCAAGTCCTTACCCTTGGAAAAGAGCCAGATGCTCACATCATGTAAATCAGTGTGATTTTCACTGGCTGCCTGAGTGTCTGCCCATTTACACCACAGGATAGAAGTTGTGTTTTGGTTTGGTTTTTTTTTTTTCCTTAAGCTCCCTCTGGTTATGTTTCTTGACATGTTCTTAGATATCATCTAAGTGCTGTCCCTGTCAAATATTGTATTGAATATCAGAAGGCTCCTCCACGTGTGATGGCAGCTGGGAGAGGGAGCAAGGGTGGTCAGGCTGCTGTGAGACCCATGTGTGGATGTGATTTGGACGTGCAGAACAAATACTTATGACCTTTCCTGTACTAACTTCTTGCAATTAGGAAAGCTCTGTGACTCAGGAAGTTTAGCACTGTGTTTGGCCAATATTTAGTAATTACAAATGAATTATAGATAACCAAGCAAAAGTAGAATTAATTTGAGGAAAACCTTCTTTTCACAAATATATGTAAGGTGGCTCTAATATGAAAAAACGAAAAGCAAACCCAACTCACAGCATGTCAGTGACTTAATTGTTTTTCTAGAATTACTATTAAAACTAACTCTGTGAACTGGGTTGAAAGAGAAAATCCCTAGCTGTTTTTTAAAAACCCCACTTCTAAGATCATATATGCTGCAGGTGTTTATGAAGCTCACAAAAGAAATCTATGCATTGACCTCTTCCCTGGGGTTACCCATCTGTGTGTTCTGTTTAAAATGTTCCCATGTACTCATCCCACACTCACAATTTTAGTGTAACATTACTGTGGAGGTGAATCCTGAATTTTAACTGCTCCATTTTTGGATCAGTTTAGGTATCCTTAGCTAATTACAAGAGCCCTGTAATTCTCTTCTGCTCAAGAAACTCCTAAGAGGAGCGGCTGCCCTGACAGATTGCCATTAATCTGTCAATAATGGGATTTTTTCGGTGTTATGCTTGGTTGTAAGCTCTTTGGGGAAAGGACCATCTCTGTGCTTGGCACAGCAGGGCTCTGCTCCCCCTCCCACCCCACCTGAGAAATAATCACAGCGATGTGAAGTGAGGAGAGGGGCATTCCTTGTGTGTGGAAGATCCTTCTCCAAAGCCCACAAATGCTGGATTTTTGCCTCCTGGAGGGCACTGGCCATTTTCTGGTGGTGGCACAGAGGGACACAGACAGCAGAGCTGGGCATGTGGCTATTCCCAGGGCCAGGGGGCTTTGGGTGACTCTGCTGCTGTCCCCAGCACAGCAGCCAGGCTGGGAACAAGGCAGATTTTTCTGGCTGCCCCAAAAGCTGTGAGCAGGCAGCTGCTGGACCACTCCTGCAGCCACGTGCTGGAAAGCTGAGCGTGGTGTGGCCTCCCACAGCCCCAGGAACTCCAGGATGGATGCCTGGGCAAGAGCTGCCAGCCTGGAGCACTGAAACAAGGCACAGCCCCATTCCTGAGCCCAGCAGCACGCAGGCTTTAAAAGGAGCTGGTTGGGAAAGGGCTAATGGCTTGAAACTGAAGAAGGGTTGATTTAGGTTAGCTATAAAGTTATTAAAATGAGGTAGTAAAACTGTGGAACAGATTGCCCAGAGAGGCTGTAGATGCCCCATCCCTGCAAACATTTAAGGCCAGGTTGGACAGGGCTCTGAGCAATCTAATCTAGTTTAAGACATCCCTCACTGTGGAGGGGTTGGACTAGATGAACTTTAAAGGTCCTCTCCAGTCTAAACTATTCTGATTCTTACACAGAGCTGGGATTTATGCCCAGCACAGGAGCACAGTGAGTTTGGGAGGCAGGAGAGGCTCTGAGAGCATTCACTGACTGGGAGAGCTGACAGCCAGGGTTAGGGAGCCATTAACAGCCAGCATTATGTCATGTCTGCCTTACTGCTGCCAGGCCAGGTTGCTGTTAGAAAATAACTTAAAAGTTCAGAAAAGTAAAGAAAAACAAAAACAAAAACAAACAAACCCCCAAACAAAAGCAAAAACCACAAAGAAAACCCCCAACAGTTGGGCTCATTTGCATTCACAAAGAAAGATGTATTTGCTTTAAATTACACAAAGATTGAAAGTGCTGATAGTGGAAAAAATCTTACCTATGGCACTTCCAGTTAACTGAGAAAGTTCAGCCAGCGATTAAACTGCTGAGAGGGAGGAGAGCACAGATTGCATTTCAAAGGCAAACTCAAGCAATGCATTAACGATTATTAATGTGTGTTATTGTTAAAGTAATCATATTTATTATGGTCTAGCCTAGGGAGAACAGCAAAAAATGGAAGTCTTGTTGGGAGACTGCAGGAACATGCACACAGTAGGTGGTCCCTGGCCCTGCAGTCTAAATAGTCAGAGATGGAGAGGATAAAGCTCGAGCTAAGGAGAGAACAGCAAGAAATGCTGTGGGTTTGGGTTTGCATCTGCCCTGCGAGGACCTGGATAATATCTCCTGCCTGGTTCTCCTTCCAGTGTTTGCTACAGATAGTGAGGGCTTCTGTATGATCCTGGCTGGGAAACAAACAAACAAACACCCAAATGTGAGGGGTAGAGAGTTATTGATGTGCTGCTGCTCTTGGCTCTCACAGACACAGCAGAGGCCAAGGATGGGGGACAGGATAACCTGAGTGAGCCAGGGCTTGGTTCCTCACTGCTTTGCCTTAACAACAGAAGAATTTTACACCCACTGGCACAGATAGAAACACCACCATTGATTAAAAGCAGCAGTTTTTTGTTTGCCATTCAGATATTTTTAGTTGTGCCTATTTTGATCAGCCTGCTCTGCCTGGAGGCTGCTGTCCATGAATGCTTGGTGTAGTGAAGGGTTACAGAAGCCATCAGGAAGTGATATCAGTTTCCTAGGTGGAAACTGTTTGGAAAAGCAAGCAGACAAAACCAATCCAAACTGGAATTAGGGTCTTCTTCTCTGTGCATCCAGCCATGCCTGCAGCTGTTCTTGCCTCGTTTTACAAACTGATATTTGTAAATGGTGTATTCCCCCTGTGCTCTTTGTTGTGCAGTCAGGATCAGTGACCCCTAACAAAGGATAAATGTGGTGGAAGAGGTGTTGAACAGCCTGGCAGGAGCTGTGTGCCCGTGCTCTCTCAGTCCATGCACACCAGGAGGGGTTTGCTGGGACAGCTGTGCTGCTGAGCCCTCCACAGGGAGTGCAGCTCGTTCTGGCCAAAGAGGGCATTTGCCACCACCCGATGTTTGTGTTTCAGGCAAGATATATCTGCTGTAGGGCCTTTTTTGAAATTCACTTTTTGCCAGTATTTGTGGCTTCGTTAGATCCCATTTTGAGTCTAGTTCAGTTATGGAAAGTTGAGGTTTCTCCCTCTCCCCCCATGGTCCTTTCCTCAGTCACCCTTGATGCACAGCCAGGGCTTCCCAGTGGCTGGCCAAGCTGACCTGGAAGCTGAGAGGACGTGCCAGCATGGCAGGAAAAGGATGAAACCTGCAGGCAGGGAGCTCTGTGGCAGCCCAGCTCCAGCTCACTGTGAGCTCCAGGCCAAGAGCATCGCTGGTGACAGAGCCTGACACAGCAGTGCAGGCAGCAGGGAGCTCTGGTGGCTCCTGGGTGAGGAACAAACACCAGTGCCACTCACTCTGAGGGAGCTGTGGCTCAGGAAATCCTGGTTCTTGTTGTGCCTGGGTGATGAGGGGCTGCTGTTCCTGCACAGGGATGGAGCTGTGCTGGCCAGGGCGTTGTGCAAGGAATTGGGAGGAGGGGAGAAAAACCAGCCCTGCACCTCCTGCCTCCTCTTTTGTGCAGCAATTGCACTGTAGAGAGCAGAGGCCCCTTATCCTGCCTGTCTTCTTTGACTTACAATTCAGCTAGCTCTAATTATTAAAAAATAAACAAGCCTGTAACTGCTTAAGAGCCTTAAATCCCCTAAATGACAGGGAAATAGCCCCTGAACACCACCGAAATAGTCTCTTCTATGTCTGCCTAGCCTGGCAGCAGATACAAATCATCATTAGTGGGTCACTCTGACACAGATCCCTTAATGTAAGTGCTACATTACATTAACAAGCGAGTCAACAATAATATTAGCAATAAATGAGAAATTAAATTCCTAGTAATTCATCCCTTTGGGTTTCCCAGTGTGTCTCCTGTGTTTTTCTTGTTTTGATCCTGAGCATTTCGAAACAAGAAGTGTCTTTATTTTGTGTCTTGTGGCGTGATCCCAGCCCATTAAAATGGATGACAGTACTGCTGTTGACTTCAGTTAGCAATTACTGTAGGAAAGAGCACATGGTGTGATTCAGAAATTAATAATAACCATATACACTAATTCTAAGGAGGGGATGTAAAATTGAACTTTCCTGCTGAACTGATTTTAATTCAAACTGGTTTTTTCCAACGGTTTTTCCAGGAAAACAGATACAAAGCTAATTTGCATTAAATTGGAATACTTTTACTTTTCTGAACCAAGAGTGGTAGTGAGGAGTCACCACTGCTAAGCAACAATAGCAGATATGTTTGCACACACTAAGAAAACTCCAAACAAGGAAGACTCCAAAGCAGAACTGGAGTTTTTTGGCTGCTAATTTTAATGGAAGATGTGGCTAGACCCTCAAATGGCTCTGCAGCCGAAATATTTAAATTGCTTTGTCTGTGTTTTTTTGTCTGTTGCTAGATGTAGACTGGAGCATTGTTTTGTTTGTTTTGTTCAGATTGCAGCAGTAGCTGAGTTCCAGTATGTGATGGAAAATTGCTTATTGGACTCTCCTGATCAGAAAGCACTGATTATGGGATATTAACTGTAGTGCTTTTATGATGAAGACTATTAAAGACTGAACCAGAAACCACAAGCTCATTACTTTCAGAATTAATGCTCAGAGTAAACCTGCACTGTTCCTGAAAGGTTAGTCTCCAGTGCATTAATTCTTTGCTTCCTTCTTGGCAGATGTATTCACTGAATTGCACTGGTGGTCTGAGCATTTCTCATTTCACTGCCTCTTCACCCCAAGTGGACCTGCAGAGCCCTGTAGCTACAGCTGGGACAAATTGCATCGAATCAATTATGGAACATTAAGTATTGCAAAATATAACAAGGCAAGAGAGGGGAAAACTCAGTGCTGAGCTCTCCCCTGGCACATGCCTGTAATTAAACCTTCCTGAGAGGGCAGTGGGTGCTCAGCCCTGCAGTGGGGCTGGGGACAGGGGTGCTCTTGGGGACTCACAGCACTGCTGGGGTGTAGCTGGGTGTCCCTGGACACTCTCATCATTTCTGGGCTGTAGCTGGGTGTCCCTGCACACTCTCATCATTGCTGGGCTGTAGCTGGGTGTTCCTGGACTCTCGTCATTGCTGGGGTGTACTGGGTGTCCCTGGACACTCTCATCATTGCTGGGCTGTAGCTGGGTGTCCCTGGACACTCTCATCATTGCTGGGGTGTAGCTGGGTGTCCCTGCACACTCTCATCATTGCTGGGCTGTAGCTGGGTGTCCCTGTCCCTGCACTGCCAGGTTTGGCTCGCTGGGAGCCAGTGGACACAGCTCCCTTCAGGAGCTCAGGAGGATGGTTCTGTCCCCTGTCCCCAAAGACAATCTGTTTATTTATTTGCCCTCTGGGATGGCTGCTTTGTTACTGGGTGCATCTGTGCTCCCACTGATGGGAAGTATCGCCCTCATTTATGGCTGGGGGATGTTGGTGTGCACTCGGAATGAAATGCCTGCTCTGGCTTCCTGGGCTGGGAAGCCTTGAGATCTCCTTCCCCCTCCCTGCAGTCAAACTGGCTCCTGACTAAGAGAAACAGGGGATTAAACATGGGCAGCTGCCAACTGAGGCAGAATAGGAATTCTTCACTTTTCAAGGGACTATGTGAAATCAAATGCTAAAAGTCTTACCATGTTCCTCTATAGTAGAACTTGGGGGTTTTGTTTATATGTTCTCTTTCACCCAACTTTCTCTCAGTGTAAATTTCTTTTTTGCAGCTTCCTTAGATCTACAAACAGTCTAAATAATATAAAATGAATATTTATAAACTCTAGATACATAGATTGTGTTGTGTTTATTCTCTGCAGCCTTTCTCCCAAGGAACTGTTATCCTATTTATTTGCCCACAATATAGATTCTCAATCTTATTTTTTTTAATATTTTCCATAACCCCAGCATTTACTTATGAGTATCATACTAGCTTTTCAACTAGTAGAATGCATCTAAAAGCCTTTGCTAAAATACTGATAACCCTGTGTCTTCTTAGTTTTAGCACTGGTGTTGCAGTGAGGTCAGCATAACATTTTCTCTGTGGGTCACAGTTTGCTGACCAGTGTGGAAATTTATGAATTGCTGAAATTGTGATGTCAGT